CATTAAGTGTTTATTTTTTTAATTAGTCGTTGTATGGAAGAAAGTTCAAAGATATAGCTATATTTGATAATATATACCAAAACAAATTTAAAATTATAAGGACATTTAACAGTAAAAAAGAAAAGAAAAAAGACTGAGATGAGGGCTAGTTAAGTTTAAATTGTCTATAAAGTAATCAAATAGTGTGAAGTAACATTAATATAAAGATATGACACATATAATTGTTGTAAGCACTTAGTAAAGACACATAATTTTGCAGTGTAATTTAAAATTCAAGCAAAATTTTGAAAAACTATAGTAATGTATTATAATATAAAGAATGACATTTTCTTCAACGGAAGTTTATACATTTCCTTCTACATAATGTGCAGTAGTTTCAATCTGGAACAACTGTAATATCAAATTTTCCATCTGTGACAAAAAGTATCTTGAAGTCTGGTCACTAATCCCTACACTTCCCTTCCTTTTGTGACACAGATGCATCCCCTCTGAAAATCCATTAAACAGCACACAAGGATCTTTGTTGCAAATAGGAGGTGATTTCTTAAAGGAGAGAAAGCATTTGGTTCATGATACCCCATCCTTTCAAGGCTTTTACAGCTGCCAAAGTCCTGTCCTCAAAATGTTAATTATACTGTTCCACATACTAATTGGTAACTTCAAAATTATGCACAGTTGTGGCTGTACTATTTATGGTATTGAGTTCAAAATTGGCACCACTTTTGTGCTTTCAACTATATTTTTACAGTAATAGCATAGTCACCTTTTTCAGTTGATCTGAATATGAGGACAGTTTGAACGACTGTCTAGAGAATGTTGAAAATTATTATTAAATCAAAGAATCATCTTATTTAAGTAAGGTATTTATTATGAAATACTAAAAACGTTTTTTTTATTTGATTATTCAGTTCTTTTGGGTTTTAAAAAAGCACATAGCACAAAATATCACATTTAAAAAAAAAAAAAAACCAATGATTTTTAATTGGTTTTATGTTGTAGGCTAGATTAATTAAAGCCTTCATTAAGTGAGGTATCACTAAATTAAGTTTTTGTTGTGTATAAATTTTTTGTTTTGATGGTAAAAAATGCACATTAATATTAAAACAAACCTATGTCACGATTTATTGTAATATAACAGCAAAGAAATATAATTTAAATAAACTAAAACTTTTATACATTTAACCCTTTCACGACGGCACACCTTTGTTTAAGATGTTCATGGGAGTCGAAAACAGTCACCATACAGGACGGAGGTTTTGCATCGCTAAGCCTAATTTTATAAAAAAATCAGGAAAAAAAAAAGTTTTGCTTCTAGCATTGTAATTTTTATTATCATTCTAGATTCTTACTTGAGCTCATATATATGTTAAAATTAGCACTTAATAACGTTTTTTTTTTTTTTTTTTATTTTATTTTATATGAAAATATACTTAAAAAATTGCTTATCTTGTAAAATAATTTTCAGGAAGCGCTATTCAAATTATTCCAAAGTTTTAATTGATAAAATCCAACAATAAAGTTTAAAATTAATAAAAAAAAGTCAATAAAGACTATTTACAGTAAGAAGTAACAAAATTTTAAATGAGGACTGAATGTGGTAAATCTTGAAGCATGGAGAAGTAGCACTTTCTAACTCTTAGAAAAAGTATCACTTTCTAACTCTTTAGAAAATGAATCATCACTCTCATTTGCATTAGTAAATGGTTCACTAACCATATGAGGGTATTCTTCCTCTGATAAATAGCACCTTCCTGCCATAATAGACTGGAGGTGAGGCTTTCCTAAATAAAAAGAAAAGAAACGAAAATATATCTGGAGGCAATGCAAAACATAAAAGAACTCCACAAGAAAACTGTTGGCACCCTAAAAGACCGTACATAGTAGAGGGGGGAAAAAAAAGGAATTGGATATAAATCAGACATATGAATGTTTTCATTAGCACGCAGCGATTTAAAGAGCCCACCTCTTTTTACGCTCCCCCCCCTAACCCTCGCAACAGCTGATGAGTAAAATACCAAAGTCAAACAGAATATATCTAACTCAAGGTCAGAAACCTAAAACTGTGTTCATTTCAAAAGTAATGAACATAGGATGCTATCTAGTAGCCTTCAGAAAAACGTTCCACCTTAAAATGCGTGTACGCATCAACTGTCCTCTGAATGCAATCTCTAGTGATGCGTGGATGGGATGCCCAGCTGTAAAAGATGTTCTTAGGGAATGCGTATGTAGGACGCCCGTCCTGAAAGGGTTAATCAAACTCAAGGGTACTTTAAACTGAACATTTATTTATATACCTTGAATTACACAACATTATGTAGTTACATGTTACCTTGAATGCACAACATTAGTTGTTATATTACTAAATATCTTGAATTACGCAACATTAGTTGTTATATTACTAAAACTAAATATGTTGTGTATCAAAGTATAGTATCCATATTACATCCAAGCTTGAAAGCATAAACTTCAAGGGTGGAGGGAATGTATATCGCAGAGGCACCCATCTGATCAATGGTAGTTTGAGAACCTGATCCATAAACACTGCAGTTTCATGTATAGCAAATCATATTGGAGAGTTGGTGCTTCAGAGCCAAGAAGTCAGATGTCATCATTGAAACGCTTGAATGCAAGTACACATTTAATCACTGTAGTTTCTTCTAGTTTGTTGTTTAACTTCTTAGGGACAGTTCATATCGCTGAGGGAAGCCATCTGCTTAGTGTTTTGATGCTTTGAATTCGTCTGGGTATGTCTAGCTGTGGTGCCATTTGCAAGGGCAAATGCTTGAATATTAGCCCTGCAGACAGTCAAACACTTTGCTCTTCTGTCAGCAATCCATTCTTAGATGATGTGTTCTAATTCAGGAAATAATGATTGCTGACCTGACCCGCACTTATGACATTTCCCTCATCATCCTGTTGACTGAGGTTATTGAAACCTAACTGCCATTTTCAGATCATTTGTGGATCCAAATTCTTCTCTTTGCAGAAAGCTGTTAGAGTTTTTTATGTGGATTCTTCCACAATTTCTTTCGTGCACTCGATGTAATAGCACTTACGTTTTATCTCAGTATCAAAATTTATTATTAAATCAAGTTGCTAAACATCCGTTGCTAATGCTAGTAATTGAATACTGAAGATTCTAATATGGGGCATTTCTAACATAAGCCTGTTTCATTGGCATTAAACACATTTTAGATGAAAAAACTGAAAACTGAATCAGCTAACTTTTTGATGAGTTCATTGCTTATATAACTGTGTACATTAGCTGTTATACTATGCAGTTTTGTCTGCAATCTATACTATTAAAATCTGTTTGTATGTCTGTTTGTTTATACCATCATCTTCTCCGGAGCTGCAGGGAATTGATATTCGAGAGAGGTATCTCCGGATTCCAAAAATTCATGGGAATCCATTTTAACCATTCTCATATTCATATGATTTTAACCAGCTGAGATATTAATTTAAAACTCTGAAAATACTATATTGGAAACAAAAATGTAATTTACGAATTGGTTGTAGCAGGTTGTGGGAGATATTAATTATTGATTGCTACAGGTTTTTGCAAAAATGCATAAGATAATAATTAAAACTCTGAAAATGCTAATTTGGCAACAAAAAATTTATTTACGAATTAGTTGTTTGCTTGAAAATCCCACTCATCTGGCAGGCTTGCCCGCTAGTTTTTATAATAAAACTTGAAATGAGTAAGACATCCATTACTATATTTGAAATCATGTGCCTGAGGGTTCATTTGTATTAGCTGCTAATTACTTCTTCATTCCATATTCATTTGCTATTTCTGATTTAAAATGGCAGTTGGTTTGTGTTAGAAATGTCTTAAGTGAAGTGTTTCTAGATTTTTTGTGTTGCTACATTACTTTATGCTTATGTCAGTAAGGCAAGTGCAGTTGCTATATAAGACATAATAGTATTTTTAATTTATCTTCCATGCAGCCAGGCACATAGCCAGTTTTCAGATTTTTGCCATTCAGTATGATATGAAACCTTTTATATATCTTTTAATTATATTTATGTATTAGTCTGAGCAGTTAAAAAATAGTAAGAGCACTTTTCAAAAATAAAAATCTTTCTTTATTTCTTAATAATATATATATGATATAATTAAAATGCATTTAATTTATTGTGTATCTAATTGACAGTTATAAACATATTGCCTGGATGTTTGCTGCTGTTGTCACTGCGAGTTTGTTTTTAGACCTTAGAAATATTTAATAATTGTAATGTTAAAGTAAGTTCATAAGTAAAAATGTAATGTTAACAAAGAATTTCAAAAATGGATTTCAAAGTTTTCTCCATAGAGGAGTTTGAACTTTAATTAGTTAAATACATATATGAATTAATTAAATGCTTATGTAAATTAAGATTTCTTCTCTTTTTGTACTTTATCAAAATAAAAAATCTGATAGTTATTTTACATTAAATGTGTATAAATTCAAGCATTTTTATGATTTAATGATGTTTTACTCATTGTATATTTTTGTAACCAAATGAAAACATAAGAAAGCTGTTTTGTTCTGCATTATAGAAAAAAAAATTAATGAATTTCATGATTGATAATTTTTTGTATACTTTCATTTTTTTAGGAAATATCGTAGAAACTTATCATTTTTCTATTAATAAATATTAATATAAGAGCACATGTAAAATCCTATTACAAGCATTGAAGTTTTCTTTAATTAGGCATTTTTCATAGTGTTATTAGCAAGAATACAAATTTTCATGTCATAAGAAGAAAATTATCTTTTACAAAATGTTCTAGACTTTTATTATATCAGGTAGAGTGTTTTTTAGTGTTTTTTTATCAGGTACATAATATTTTAAGTTTATATATTGTATGTTTAATATTTGCCTCTTTTTTTTTTTTTTTTTTTTTTTTTTTTTTTTTTTTTTAGGTTTTTTACTTTTTTTTTTTTTTTTTTTTTTTTTTTTTTTTTTTTTTTTTTTTTTATTTTTTTTTTTTTTTTTTTTTTTTTTTTTAGGTTTTTCTACTTACAGACATACTGTCAGCATTCATAAAACGGGAATATTATTTAGAAAATGGGGTCAAATATGAAGATGGAACCTTAGTATTATTAAGATTGCAATGATGTTACGGAATATCTAGTAGACAACAAAGACAGATGAACAAAGCTATTTAATTATAAGATAATTGAAGTCATTAAAATTTTTTCATGAAATATCAGTTATTTCAGAAGTGTAAAATGCATTGAGTATGACTTCAAATTATAAAAACGATAATTTGTAATATATTTTAATTATTATTGTTTAGATTTGTATTCAAGTAAAATTTCTTTTCATCAGCAAACTAATTGTTGTAGTATTTATTTTGTATTGAGGCATATTTTTAAAGTAAAATGTTTAGGGAAGCCTTCTTTATATTATTTCAGTTAAGTACTTTGAGTAAATTAAATAGAAAAGAAGCATATATTTCTCAGGTTAATAATAATAAAATTCACCAAGAATATAAATAAATACTTGCATGTTGTTAGTTATAACTGTATTCATGAGTACATGGAACATAGTGGGAGAGCACGATATAAACCCGCGAGCATGCGCGCTAAAATTACGAACATGAGAAGGCGCGCTGGGTATGTCATACCCGAAAGCAATTAGCGCGTTTTAAATTACATTAATAATATAAATATTAGTATAAATGTGGATTAACATAAAAAACAATGAACTTTAGAATATTTTAAAGAATATAATAAATGAAGTACTTAACATACAATTATTTTGCACATCTCTGGCAGACTGAATACATATGCTCTATACAAATACTGATATTGCATTTCTTGCACAGAAACCGTGTCTTTGTGTCCTTGTTTTTAGGTCACTCAGCACATCTTCTGCAAACGTTTTTCATCTTTTTAGATGGTGGTTCCATGTTGCAATTTCCTGAAATTATTTTTTTCTTTTAGTTTCAAAGGGATCATGATTTGCTGCCGCTGTTGATTTGAGTAATCTTCCACTTTCGAGTAACCAGTATTTCCTAGAATTTTAAAGATAATGTTTTTAGAACTATTCCTAACATTCATTCGGAATTTGTTTTTCTTCCATACCAAGCCATTTTTACCAACATAATTTTTATCATTTCATTGGTTTTCTAATTCACTATCTAATTCAGTGTTTGTACGACTGTCTGCTGATGAATTATAATTGCTCTTGTGTTCTTCATATATTAATTCTTCTTCCTCTTCTCTAAACGTTTCATCATCTGTTGAAAGGTTTCTAGCATATTTCTTAACCTTTTCCATTTCTTTATAACTTAGATGCCGCGCCATGCTGACTAACTTAGAAAATGAGGGTGAAAATCTGAGAGACGCGAGAAGGTACGCGGGTGTCACGTACCCAAATGGTACAATTCCTAGAAAAGTATTAAGAATCACTCCACGGATTTCCCAGCTTCATGAATGTGACCTTGAATTCAACTATGAAAGGTTTTGTCCATTTCCAGGAAAGGGGTTTTGAGATAATTGATAAAGAATATGCCCCCGGGTTAAAAATTGCTTGGTGTATGGATTAAAATTGTCACATAAAATTTACTACATCTGATAATTAATCACAAATTATCTCTTATTTTTTCCAGTAAGACCATCCTCTAGCATGTTCAAGTAAAAAGATATTTTATTGATTTAGTTATTGTTTATTAGGTTTCCTTTGATGTGATTATTGTTTCTACTTGTTGGATATGATAAATTTGAAAAATGCAAAATATTTTCACTTGTGAGAAATATTTATTGTAAGCCTCATTTACAAATGATCCCATGAAAAAATGTACAGTTACACCTTTTATGGAATAAGTGAATATGAATCTGCTGATGTTAATTTATGATGCAATAGTATCATAGCAAGATTTTCTCCTACCATCTGATATTGCTGTTTTGAACAGTTTATTCTAAATATATGATTTTTTTATTCTATATCTTAAATTTTTAAGGGGTGAATTCTTAAAATTGTTTCAAATGTTAAAACTAGAATTTGCAAAGCAAGATGAGATTATGATGTATACAATTTTTGATTTTCTTCCCCTTTTTGAAATATTAATGGCAAACTCTTTGAATCATGAGGCTGCACTTAAGTTTTCAGGCTGCTGTTTATTGTTACTACTATTAATTATCAAATTCTTTATTCAAATTTCATTTGCAAGATCTCATTGTTAATAACAAAAATCTGATTGAACAATTAATTACAGAACACTTTTTACTTTTTTTATGAGGTCATTGAAAAAGTTAACATTATTTAATTAGAGCATATTACAGCATGCCAAGCTAAAAATAGGTTTTGTTTAGTGTAAAAAAAAAACAATGAATTTTAAAATCAAGTATCCCTGAACGACCTTTCTGTTATGAACAAAAATCATGACTATATTGAATAAAAGCAATATAATATAGATCAGAATTGCTAACAAGCAATAATTTCAAATAGGTAGGTCTTTTCAGAGTTGTGAATGAAGCAGTGAACAATTTGTATTTAAAACATATGATGTAGACTTTTAAGAGCTGTGAAGTTAGGAATATATAAATATGATACGTTGATACAGAGGTTTATACAGGGGTTCTACTGCATTCACAGTATATAAATATGCTTACTGATTGTAAATTAATATATTCTGTAAGCTGACTTTAAAAATTTGGTCAACTCATCATGATTATTAAAACTGAATTGTGAAAGGACTGTAAATTTCAAATATAGCCAATTAAATTATATTAATCTTGTAAAAGATAACAATTTGACATTTTACCTGTGATTTAAGGCACAAGACACAGTGGAACTTCGAATCATAAATGTCTGTATGTTACACATGGGCAAAACCATGAAAACCAGCCATGCAGCAGCCCATTCATGTGGGTTTGAACATGAGCCAGGTTGAACTACTAGTATACAACGGTCTTAAACTCTCGGCCACTGGTGGGTCTGAAATCCCAGAGAAAGGATGGATTTTTGTAAGCGTAATGTATCTGTGTGGAAAGGAGGGACTCAAAATACATGGTGAACCAAAAGTCCTTTCAAGAGGTTCATGGTAGAGGAAGAGGGTGGAGACCCTTGGATCGTGCTGCAGGAGTTCTTTCTAAAAATTGGGGTGGAAGCATAATGGTTAGCTAGTTTCAGCAATACCTTAATCACCTGTAGTATTACAGAGAAGCTGGCCTAGCTTCTGCCTGTTCTTATATTGCCACCCAGATGATATAGTAGTTAGTAACACTGATTGCTGCACTAATGTGCTTGGGTTTTAATCTTGAAGAAGGCATGAATGTTTGTAAGGGTATCATGTCTGTGTAGCAGTGGGGACACTCAAAATACAAAGTTAGCTGAAACTCCTCGAGAGGTTGGTGATAGAGAAAGAGTGGTGGGAGACACTCAGACCACACCCTGGGGGTTCTCCCTTTGAATTCTGTTCAGGGCAGAGGCATAGAATTAGCAAGGCCTAGCAATATCTAATGGATGCACATGTTCGACCTTACTTTAACCTGTACCTGTAAAGACATTAATTCAAGTCATACTCTAATTTTTTTCAAAACTGATCAAAGCAGAATTTTTAGGGAGTAAAAAACTCTGAACTCATCTCACCATGAACAAGTCAACTCAGGAGCAAAATATCTGATCTGTGGTCCATAAATATTAATAGAACAAGAAAGAACTGGAACAATTTAAGAAGCAGCCACAAAAGTGATTTGCTAAGAATTGTCTTCAGAGGATGAGGAAAGAAGAAATGATGATCCTTATTCCCTGAACTGCAAAATTTGTATGAAATGGGATAAGGTGCAAAGTTTCATGGAACAGTGTCATCCTGGTAAAACAGTAATGAGCTACAGCATAAACATTATGAGTGAAAATCCAATGTCTCACTTTAAAACCACCTTAAAATGTTGACACAACAAATCACATTGGACTAATTTTGAGTGAAATAGAGGTACAGTGTGTGTTAAGCAGTGTTGAAGGATGCTAAAAGAAAGACAAAGAAAAGATAAAAGAAAATGCATCAGAAAGACAGCTACCTGATATTTTTATGGAAGGGTACTCCTTATCTGTACAATACAATAACATCACTTCCCTTTTACTCCCTCGCCACTTTCCTTTGTAGAGATGTGGTATAATTAAATGAAGTTTTTGTCTGTTTAATATTGTTCTCATTTTTGTTTTTATACATTTAGTGACTTTATTGGTTTTTGTGTCATGAGCATGTGCACAAAGTACCATTGTAAAGTTAAAATTAGCCTTCATCTATGGCTTCAGGAGTGGATTAATATTCTTAAATATGTTGGTTTATGAATACTATGGGTAATGAACCGGCTTCAGGAACAAACTGCATCTATGAACTGAAGTTTTGCTGATCTAAATTTGTAATCTAAATGTGATATATAATGCCTGCTCTTTGTTCACATTTACAGAACATTATTTTCTAAATTACAACATATGTTAAATTTTCAAAATTATTATTTCCTTTATTTTTAATGATCTAATTACTGAGTTATTCTTGGGGCTAGTTGTACAATTTTATAATAATATAAACAAAACCCTTCTTGCTAAATAACATTATTTCAATTATATTATACAGCATTAAAATGGAATATCCAGTCCTCACCTCTCAGAGTAGAGGTATCGCCTGAGCCATGGGCTAATTATCGGGTCTTATCTTTCCAGCTATACATTAAATAGATTCTAATTTTGTGAGTTTTAATACCCTAGCATTAAGTATTGATGTCTTCTGACTAGAAGATGTGTTGGCCTCACCAACATCTTTATTAAGTGCTATTTACATTATTTACAGTGATCCATATCTTGCAAACATTGACAATATATTTTACAATGATCCATAACATTCAAATATTGATTAAATAAAAGAAAAGATATTCAAAATTATGTATGATTCATTATGCAGTTGTTAAGATTTTCAAACATAATATATACAGCAATCAAATATTTTCACAATGACATTTCAAACGTAAGTTCAGTTATACAATTGAGAGTTTATACATATAGCATTTCTTCGTTGATATAGATAAATTCCATTATTTTTGACAAAATTTTCCGACCTTTATCATTTGTGACGAATTTACATAAAAAGTTGAATGTTAGAGTTTGAGGAAGAAGTTCTTTATGTTTTGAAGCCATGTTTGGGCATTCCACTATCATATGAATAGCATCTGCTGTTATTAAGCCACATTGGCACTTGCATGTTGAGTCTTTCAACTTAATTCTGTTTATATAGGAGGAGAATGCACCATGGTTAGTAAGAACTTGGTTGAGGAAGAAGTCACAAAAATGCCTCTTTTCTGTTGCTTTTGGTAGAATTCTGTAGGTGTT